TTGACATGTTTTCAAGTTTAAAGAAATAAGGTCTTTCAGTCACATAGGTGGTAAGAATTCATTATAATGACTCTCTTGTGAAGATACCTTTTACTTACACTAATAAATAGATAAAATGAAATTAAACTAGTTATAGAAAATGATTAGATAAAAATCCCCTGTTTTGATACCTAGTACCTTTACGTCTGCTGACTAAACACTCTAAGTTTCAACTTTTATCTGTGTTAAGTAGGTATTCTATGGCTTACATGTATGTAATGCCTAGATACCTTCTTGAAGTCTATAAAAAACCCTGGTGCATAAATAAGCTTGTAGAGTATCAGGTGAAAGTTCTTGCCATGGAAAGAAGTAAAGTGTATAGAGAGACTCTACTGTCTGGTCACCACGTTCAATGGAGCAATATTATTATAGTTTGCTGGCAATACTAATAACTTAAGACATCAATCTAAAGACATGGCTATTCTTAGCAGAAGACAGTGAAAACAAACTGCTTTGCTTACAATATTCACAACACCAAAGTATGCCCTTAGCAGAGTGGTAGAAATGTCAATACGCTGCTGAGCTCCTCAAAATCCATAACAAGTTATCCCAAGCACGGACAAACCTTCAGGAAGTCTTTGAACATATAGTTCAAATTCCAGTACAACTTATTTCTCCAAATTCTGCACTTCTGGAAAGCTGTTCCCTCTTAAACGATGACAATGTCTCTATTAGAGTTGTCTCTCTCAAATGGGATCATACCCATGGATCACCGTGTGCAAGGACCTTTAAAGGGAAAAGATACACATTTAATCCACCCAGAGTTTCACGCACAGATTCCAGACCTCAAGGACTCAGGTGCTAACCTTGGGTGGTTGCCGTTCATTTCAGCTCATCTTTGTGCCTTGTGCTATTATGATAACGAATCTTCTTTGCTGGGAGCAACCGCATATTTTAAATCAACATGAAAATCCATACGATAGCTGCATGTATCCAATGTAGTATTTATTTAGACAGGGAAGACAAACAGATGAAGTAAAGCTTTTCCTCTACCTCATATGAAGGTGTAGCTTGAAAAAACTTCAGTATTATCCTCAAGAAATTAAGTTACAAATGTCAGGAACTGGCACAGTATGTTCTCCGCCAGTTAAATGCTGCATATTATTTTAGCAAACATTTCTGCTGGCAATTGTTAACCTCAGGCAGTAGAACTACATGTTTGCAGAGGAGGAAAGAGCAACTAGGGAATCTGTTTATTCACTCCCATAAAAGCTTTTCTTAACTGATACGCAGAGTTACTACTTCAGAGCGAATTATAAACCAAGCTCGTTTTAAGTGGCACCTTTGCTGGTTGAGTTTAGTTTTATTTCTGAAAACCACATTAACAGCATACAACTATTAGTCGGTTTATAAATGCTATGCAAAATTAGTAGTACTATTAGTATAAAACTATGCTCAACTTCTACAATTTTCAGAGAATAAAGGACCTTTATGAGCTCTTCTCTTTGGGGAAATATTTTTAAAATTTAGTAGCTGACATATGGTGTAAGAATATTCAGTTCAAAGGAACAAACAAAACCAGACAGAAAACACAGACTGGTTTATGTTTTTATGACTCAGTACAATAAGCATTGCTCCTCCAGTATGGTAAGGGATTCATCCCAACATGTCCTTCAGTGTGGCACTAGTATTTTATGACTTCCTACAAGTCCTTCGTGATCTTAACCATCTCTGTCCATTGCTCTTACAAAGATATGCCCCGTGATACTACACTCATCAAGAGTGTTTTTCTGATTCCAGAAACAATTTGCTTCTCCTGTCAGGCCCGGCACAGTGTCTTCCTCAAAGAGCCTCTTCTGGGTAGCCATCTGGAAGCATCACCGCAGTGCAACACAGGCAGGCTGCTGGATTTGCGTTGGCTTGCTTCTCCTCAGCACTGGCTACTGCCCTGAAGGCAGCATTACGTTTTATTCCTGGACTACGCAGCATTGTAACTAGATGTGCAGACATGACATTTTGATTGCTAAATTCTGGGCCTACTACGTTTGTGGTGAGACTCAGAGGAAGACCCAGGAAAAAAGGATGAAGATGCAGAGGAAGGAATTGGATGAGGACAAGCAGAGAAAATGATCCAAGACTCCAGAACCAAGGAAGGGCATGAAGGTGTAATACTGTACCCGAAAGGCAGCGCGGAGAGCTCCGTCTCATGCAGCATTTTGGAAGAAGGATATGAAAGACAACCAGATTTTAAGGGAAAAAATGAACTAAAGAGCAATGAAAAGCCAGAGTCGAGGTGCTAAAACCAGCCATGCCCAAACTATGGAGAAATTACATTTCAAAAGCTCTGAAATGCGGGCCTTTCTATAGTCAGAAAACATTGCAGAAAATGAAAGCGGTAAGTAAGAAATGGGGAAAAGGAGAAGAATCCTCCCTGGATTGAAGAGAGCTGGGAGGATCAAGGAGAAAAGAGGAACATTGACTTACTATAGCTAATAAAGTCCTTTTCTGCCTGTCTTCATAACTGAAGTGTAAAACATGGCTGCATTTTTTCCTTGCCATGTATGGTGCTTAGATATAAATCATCTCTGGGCTTGTGACTACACTTCAATGAAACTAACGACATGAAAGCCTGTAGACTTGGAATGAGGCAGAATTTATAATAAAAGAGATCAACTTGGTGAAAGGAATACTAAAATTGTTTCTATTGTAATAATATAACTTTTATGCTTCTTCAGGTTACTACGCATTAGGAATGTGCATGATTATCACTAAGTGTAAGAATCATGAATCATTCAGCTTCCCAAGGATGTCCCCAGAGAACAGTCTCAAATGCAGACATTTGAGAGTTCCCAAATTACTTGCTGGAGCTGGAGAGACTGATTCAAGGTCTTTCATGGATAAATTATCAGCTTTCCTGAAATGGCATTTAAATGTTGTGCTTCAGAGGTCAACTGGAGTTACTCTGGTATAAACTGAGGGTAGTCCAACATACTGGGGTTAACCACCACCTGGGTTTAAAGGCAGACGGAGAAATGTTTGGATTTTTTTAGATAGCTGTGTCACTTTGCTGTTTATCTATCTAATTCAGTAACTGTAAAAGTTAGCACTCTCACCAGAATTACCATCAGCTAAAACTATTGCATCTAGAGTAAGTGTTGAGAAAGACCTGGTCGTCAATAAGTAGGGCAGCATCCAGGCATGGGATATTCCTACTCATAGTCCCTTGGTTTTGTTTCACAGATACAGTCTATTTTTTGAGGGGAGGAAAAGAACACAGAGCCGTTCAGTTACAGATACCTGTTCTTTCATGTTACTGTGAATCTCTTGGACTTCAAAAAATTAAAAATTAGTTTGAAAAAGCAGAAATGGTTTTCGATTATTCCAAACAGATGGCTTAAGGGGAAAGACGGAACTTTTACTGCTGACAATAAATGTTAAAAAGTTAACTGATCTGAGCATGGAAAAGAGTAAACAAAATTTTCTCTTCATCTAATTACGCAACGTAAGCTAAGCATTCTTCATTAAATTACTAGCAAAATGCAATAAGAGCAAATATCAAACTGGCTTTGCCACGCATATTTTTAAGCCCGTAAGTGCCATCGTACCAACAGTGTGGAGAATGAAGCCCTTAGAAGAAAAATCAGTGATCATTCTTTCCTCCCCAGTCCTTTGCTGATGTTATTTCTTCAGTGCTGCCACAAAAGCTAATGGAAATTTTGCTACAGATTTTAAATTGAATACATCAAGCTCTTTGTGTTATAATGAAGAGAGATATGTTGAAATTTTGTGAGTTTTTTGCCTTCTGAATGTAAAATATCTATCTAGTCCTGTATCTGACCCTATTAAATAGGAAAAATTCCTATTTAAAACAGCCATTTATTGGCTACAGTAGAGTCTTTCAAAAAGTATCTCACAGAAATGTATTTTTTCCCATGATGGAAAGGCTATGATATAAAAAAGAATAAAAACATTAAATATTAAAGCTATATTGACTCCGCTGTGTTTAGTTTTGCTACTACTTAATTTCTCTTGGCTAAATCTCAGCGAAGAGGATGATTTTACTCAATGACTATGCGATTATTTTTTTTTTAAAAGAGGACTTTCAATAAACAAAGGTAAGCTCCTAAAACCAGGTTACCCATTACAAGGGATGCTAGGTATTGACTGCAGTTCCTGTAGATCAGAATGGATCTGTAAGGGGATATTCCACAGATGTTCACAACGTGTGTTTAAATGCCATTATCCCACCCCATCCCTAACCCTCACTAAGATCTCGTTGAGCAGAAGGAAATCGTGAGGTTGCTGCAGCGATTTCCTGGGGAGGTTTCTGCCATCTAGTGGAAAATGCCCAGCTGATGCCAACTGCCCCAGCACCCCAAAACCTTCATCAACAGGCCAGGTGTGCCACCCCTGTATCTAACCCCTTGGACAAAAACCAGATTCAGCTCCAGCCGTGTTGCCTCTTGCGCGCCTCTCTTCTGCTCCATAGGTTGTTAAATATTGCCTCTAGCGGCTACTCCTTGTTGATCCTCATTAATACCCTTATCTGCTCGGTCGTGTTAAATAGACTACTTCTGGAAGACATCAAAAGCTGTCATAGGAATAGATTTAACATAAAGAAAACAACCCCAACCTTGCTTTTTAAGTTTGTACAATAGCTTCCCATGTTACCCCACGCCCTCTGCCTCCTGCACCCAAGTCTTGATGGCGCAATGGCCTGCTACTTCTGCTGCAGAGCCCAAAGGCAGCCTTTTATGTCAGCTTTACGTCAGAAGTGTGCCTTTTTCGCCCCCTAACTATACCTGCTGCGTTACAGAGTCAGGGGAGGAGCCGGGACAGGTTGGTCAGTTGGTCCCCCTCCCTCCACAACCATGAACGAGCCCGGCCCCCAGCGCCTCGGGTGGCTAACTGAGGCTGGCAGGACACGGCCGGCATCCCACCACGCGCAGAGAGGGCCCCCGTCCCCAGGGCGGGCGGCACGCCCGCCTCCATTTCCCGCCTCCGCGCGGGGGCCGCTGGGAGCTGTAGTAGGGGGCAGAAAGAAGATGGCGTCCAAGATCCGCGTCGTGCTGCGGCCGGTGAAGAGTATCGTGGTCCGCTTCTGCCCCTTCGAGTCCAACGTGGCGAGCACGAGGTGAGGGGGCTGCGGGGGTAGCCCCAGCCCCGGCCCCGCGGTGGCCTGGGCGTGCTCTGACCTTCGGGCCCGCGCCCGGCAGGGAGGCCTTGGCCGGGCTCCCCTCTCTGTAAACCACCCAACGCCTTTCCTATGCCCGGGGCCTGGGTTCTGTACGTTT